CACATCACGGCGTCTTTCACGCCCTTCATCATCATGTTGCCGTAGTAATCATTGACGTGGACCTCAGGGTCCGTACGACCATCATAACTCTTCTCCCCCGAGACTTTCAGGTCGAGCGGGTATGGCTGGGCCATTATCTCCGCTGTAAAGGGTGTCCTCAACAAGGACGACTGGTCGATCGGGGGTCTCACAGGATGCTCGTTACGGAATCGAGCAAACTCCGCCTAGAGGTTATAGAGCAGTCCTCGGGTCTCGTTGAGCTCGACCGTCTGGGCTTGGGTTGACTCCCAAGCGCGTCGTCGACGGTGAGATCTCGACCCACTGTGCCCGGATGAAGCCTCCTGGATGGCCTCTTGCATCTGTACATCTCCCGGTTGCCGGCTCGGGTCCTGTGGTCCTAGACGTTGTCGCATCGCCGGTCGGAGACGGTCGAAAGCTACCGCCCGGTTGACCTCTTCGGGGTTCTCCGCTTGGGCCGGAACCTCCGGTTGTGCTTCTGGGGCCTGTCGTGGTACCTCCATCGCATCAGCACCCCCCGACCCCAACCGCGAACGAGCCGAGCGTCGAGCCCGGGAAGTGGGCTGATGCTGCGGCTCTACATGAACAGTTGGGTATACTGGAGGGGCGGCGACTGGAGCCGTGTACACAGGCGTGTAGGGTGGATAACCGACCGTTGGTGTGTAGAACATCGGCTGAGCGGGCCAGTACCTATATGGAGGAGGTGGGATCGGGTAAGGATACTGCTCGGGGAACTGGGACTGCGGACCGGGTGTTGGATATCCCGACTGGATGTAGTTGACCAGCTGTTGGGGGGCCGGATACTGAGATGCTGGATGGGGTGGTGAGAGGTTGAGATTGAGGTCGACTGTCTGACCTTGATACTGGGTCGGCTGGTGATCGGATGAGCTCGCCGCATCCGCTTGATCGTCACGGAACAAGTCGTATGCGTATGGATACATTGTGATAGGAAGGACGGGTGCTCGTCAAGAAGTAACTTTCGTGCACGAGTCCCCACGGACGACGCCAAAATGATAGTACTAATTGCCACGTAATGCGGTAATTAAATAAGGAAGACCAATTAAAGCAAACAAACGCCTTTTATTGATCAAGTGAAGGCCCTAAGTACAATCTAAATAGCTGTTCCGAGTACCGGCTGACTGCGGTCGGGATGCTCTGATAACAGCCTGTCGATCGTCCAAAAGTCCCTCACAGTGTTGCAATCGCGGGTATTTATAGCCGCTGGGCCGGAGACACAAGTCCGGTCATCCGGCATGTCGCCCACGTAGCAACCACGTCTCGTCCTCCCGGGTGCCCTGCCTGTCAACACATAGCGCCGCCACGTGCATCTTCTCAGCTCTCTCGCTAAGGGCTACCGCTCGGTGGTCGACAACGCCGGTCGGGTAATGCCCGGTCGAGAACCGACCGGGTTCTTCTTGAGAAATCCGACCTGTAACCTGTATAAACAAGAAGAAACGGACGAAGGCATGTCGGTCGGGTATTCCCTACCAATATGTATATACTTTTATATCAATAATAAGATGTGTAATTTATAATGTGTTTTCTATTAATAATAAGATGTGTAATTTATAATGTGTTTTCTATTAGAATTATTTTATCAAATTAATTATATTTTATATTTTGTTATAAATATTTTTTTTTTTATTTTGAGCTCATATTTAACAATATTTATGACTAACTACAGATGTGTAATTTATAATGTATTTTCTACTCATAATAAGGTGTGTAATTTATGTGTTTTTTATTAGAATTATTTTTATTAAATTAATAGTGTTTCATATTTTGCTATAAATATTTTTTATTTTGTGCTCATATCTAACAATATTTATGGCTAACTTCTTAACTGTTTCATTTTTTTAAGCTATCCTTTTTGTTATAATGTTTCGCCCCACTGAATAAAATTTATGAATCTGCCACTAATTTTGAGTACGATTAGAAACCATAACCAATATTATCTAGCACTGCCATGTAATACGAGATATCAATGTTGTTTGACATTGTAAAAAATTCCATAACATAAAATGAATTTTTTATGATGCATTAATTTTGGTGTCTTTTGTAAATATGGAAGAACAATATGATATATTTCAGCAATATAAAAAAGCTAGAAAGCTCTCCGTAACAAGATTGTTATCTTCTTTTTAACAAACAAGATACGGAGTATTAAAGATAAAGGCATTGTAGAATTGGTATGCAAGTATATGAATGACCGACGTGGCGTTCTTTTTATTTGAGGATAATATGAACATAGTTATGTTGGAAAATTTTAATTTGGCTTGCTTCTCCTAATTCTCACCAGTTTACCACTCATCTCCTCCACGTGTGAAGCTAAACATTCCAACTATATAGCTTCCCACCAAATGTTCATCCTCGTCCAACGTGGCCCGCTTGTTTACTTCAACTACTAATTGTCTAGTGTGATGCACATACTATTATTAATTTAATAAATTTATCAATTAAATTTTTGACATACTCTAAATTAGCAAAGAAATTAATGGCCGTGAAAACAGAAAAACTTATCTGAGTTTTTCCGCTCCCAGAAATATTCATCTTTCCTAGATCACACGGTATAAAACTCTATAGGAGATCTAAGCTCCCAAAAATATTCTTCTCCCTATTCTAGTCACGATCATCCTCCTAATTCCAACCACGACAAAAACATAATTGTAGTATTATATTGGTTGTGAATGGTGACTTATTTATAATGTTGAAGTAGGTGTAGAGGTTCATGTAAATATTGAAACATGTGGTTATTGAAATTTGTAAGAATGTTTTATTTATTGCAGTAAATGTGAACACAATTAATGCATTCGTACTTTGCTGATGTCATTTGCAATTGGTGTGGAGATAGTAAATGCTTATATGGGCATCCTCAATAGATAAGTTTTTTAGCACAAGTTTTTAGATGACAAATAAGATAGAGGAGAGAGAAAAATATGTGAAAAAAGAAAAAGAAAAAAAAAACAACAAAGCTGAAAAAAAAAATTGACCCGCAAACTTCATTTTCTCTCTTGGTGAGACCCACAAACTCTGAAAAAACTTGAGTCTTTGCAGGAGTACACTACTTCTTCTCTCTCCTCCATCTCTCTCTTTTAAGTTGCCATTTTTTCCTAAAAGACCGTGAACAATGCCTTAATGGGGATGCTCTTAGAAACATAAGTATTGCAATGTTAATTTTCAATTATGGAGCAACAATTATTACTCAAATTAATTTTGTGAATTACTCCCTACTCCACTAAACTCTTTTTTATATTATTATTCACTTTGATTTTCTTTCATCTTTATTTAATTATTTATGATGATTATGAAGTTCCTAAACCCTTGATATTCCATAACTCTCAAATGCACCAAATGGAGGGAAAATTTTTTCACCTTGATTCCGCTATATTATATATAGAGAATATATGGAGATTAATGAGTTTTAGTACATTACTTTTAAATCTTACTTTGTCAAATTTACTCATTAATGTAACGGACATTGATAAACTATTTTCTTCATATAAGCCCCTATAAATATGTTTATGTCAAAATTTTAAGTGCGGTAGTAAAAGTTGGGACTAGAGAATGAAAGTACATATAGTATTTTCCTAAATTAAGAACATTAGATGATTTTTTTATTGACTTTTGTGGGGTCTAATATGAAATGGAAGAGAGAGAAAGATGAGAGAGAAAATGTTTGGGATGTTTATGAAGTGTTGGTTTTTTTGCCTTCACAGTGAGCTCCACCAAAAAGTAAAAACACTATTTCTGATGCTTGTGAGAGTGAAAGTGTGAGACGCACCAGAAACGCCCAATCAGGTGTGTGCACTCCACGCACCCGCTAGGCGCGTTAGTTCCTTTTTGTTTTTTGATTTTCTCTCCCATATTCTCTCTCCTATTCATTGATGTAAAAACCAAATAAAATTCGAGACTAATAAGTTTGCTCTAATCCTATTGGGCCCATTATTTAGAAATTTTAAAACAAATCACATGATTTTAATTCCTTGCCCACAACAAATCATTTGGCATGTATTGTAGGGCAAATTATATCATACACCGCGCGTTTTTTTTTTTTTTAAATGAAAATAAACCGTGTTTGTTTTCTGCCGTTTTGCACCCTTTTGCAAAAAGTAACCCTGTTCTTCAGTGTCATTTTGTATACACTGCAGTGTCATTTCAACACAACTACAGTTTCATTTCAATATAACTATAGTTTCATTCGATATTTATAGATTCAAATATGTGAAAATGTTATTTAATTTTATTTTATATACACTATAGTTTCATTAAAACACAACTACATGATTATTTTGATATAATTACAGCTTCATTGTACAATATACACTCAAATATGTGAAATGTTATTTAGTTTCATTTTATATACACTGCAGTTTCATTTCACTATAACTACAGTATCATTTTGATATAACTGCAGTGTCGGTTTAGATATACTGTAGTGTCAGTTGGTGTTTAATACACCAAACAAGCGGACTCCGTTAACTATAACGGCAGGCCGTTTCTTTATTTAAAGAAACGACGCCGTTTTTGACCGCGGTCTATGATATAACGACTGGTACTGTAGTACGTAAAGAGTAATTATCTTTTATTTTTTAATAATAAAATACGTAATTACTATTTGAGAGTCTATACTAAATAAATTTATCTTATGATAATAGTTATCAAAAGATTATAATAAAATAAATTAATTTAGGTTATTCATAAGTGATTGATTTAATTTAAATTAAAAAAGACATTCACATTAAAAGTTGAACTTAAAAATTTTGTCGTTATGAAGTAGCATCTGACCAACTTATATTCATGGTTACTGTAAATATTAATTGCCTCCCTCGTAATTTTTATTCGGCTTCAAATTAGATCACATTTTCATGTCTCCAAATTTAGCTACACTAAAAAATTAATTAAAATTTTAATTGAACCACAGGCCACAGCCCGCCGACCCCAAGTAGCTGAGCTGTACATAACAGTAGCCTCCCCACCCCACTTTCTCTCATACTCTATAAATTCTTCATCCTGTTACCCTTCTTTTGGACTTGGTCTATCTCTCTCATTCTCTTCTTCTTCTCTTCCCATATCCCTATATCCTCGTTCCCCTCACAGACTGATAAATAAGTAGAATTCACTTTTGTTCTCGCAGTTAGCTCATGAAAAATGCCTGGTTGGTGGGGGAGAAAATCCGCCAAGAAGATCACGAACGACCCACAGCTCAATTCCCCCAAATCTCCGAGTAGCGTCAAGAATGAAAGGATTGACAGAAGCGATAGACCAAGGAGCCTCGGTGAGGTATCAGGAATGGTGGACGCGAGGAATTCACCCAGAACCAGCAGAGATTTTTCTAGCGCCCGAGGTTCTTCGGGTTCTGCTTCTGCTTTTATGGACAAAGGGCTTCCGCTGCCGCAGCCGTCCGTGTCTTCTTTTGGAAATGATCTTGGGTTAGGGTTCGGGTTCGGATCCGGGTCTGACTCAGGATCGAGTGTTAGCTCTTCTGCTTCATGTGATGATCATAACCGCATCGATCGTGTTCAATTCACCTCTTTAAGGTTTGTTCTTGTTCGGTTATCAGTAAAGTTTCGATCTTGGAACACTACTTTTTGCACAGTTTTTTTTTTTTTTTTCCAGGACGCAGACATGATTGATGCAGGTTGACTTAATAGTTGCCTAAATTCATTACATATATTTTTTCCCAATTTTTATTTTTCTTTGATTTCACTAGTATTTGAATTTTTTTTAAACAATCTCTATCTTAAATGGTTCTCTGTATTTTTCTTCTTTTGCTTTGGTTGGTCAAATGGTGGTTTTGGGTTTTTGGGGAAGGGGTAAGTGATTACTTTTTTTTTTTGGTCTTTCTTAATTTTCATTTTTCCCGTTCTCGGTGGTAATAATGGTGTTAACCATGTTTCTATGCTGAAACTGAACCCACCCACCTAGCTTAGCTTAACTGTAGAAAAATTATTTCTACTTTATGGCAGAGGAGTTGGAGATAACAAGCAGAGTCCAGTTTCACAAAGCCCTGTCCGTTCAAGAGCTCCTACAACTAATTCTTCACCTCGACACCCCCATTGTGGAGGTGCTAATTTGGATTCTCCAACAGGAAGGATGGATGAATGGAAGAGTGAATGCCATCGGTTGCCTCTTCCACCTGCCTCTCCCACTCTTATACCAGGTTCTCCAACCAGCCCCTCTTCTGCTTTGTCAAATCCAAGAACTTTTTTTGCTGAAGGTTCAAATGGTAATTTGTCAAAATGGAAGAAAGGAAGGCTTTTGGGAAGAGGCACATTTGGCCATGTTTATCTTGGATTCAACAGGTGTTGATGCATTTGTTTTCATCTCTTTTAGCCAATTTTGGATTTTGGATGGTAGTATAGCAATTGAAGAGGACCTACTTTTATCAAAATTTGCAGTGAGAATGGGCAAATGTGTGCAATAAAAGAAGTCCGAGTTGCTGCAGATGATCAGACATCCAAAGAATGCCTCAAGCAATTGAACCAGGTTTCACTTATTTCTTTTGCTTAGTTCCCTCAATATGCTTTCTTGAAATCTTTTTTCATTTAAACTGCTTTTTGTGTTTCATTGTTTCCCAAATATATTCCTGACGAATCTAACCTTCTTTTCTTTTTCTTACAGGAGATCACTTTGCTCAGTCAATTTTTGCATCCAAGCATTGTTCAATACTATGGAAGTGAACTGGTACCAGAATTAGTTACACTAGAGTGGAGAATTGCACATTAAGAATAATTGTGTATAATTGCCAAATCTGCTGAATACAAAGTCCTGTCAAATAACATTTCTTTGTTATTTGCCCTTAGGGTGAAGAAACACTCTCAGTTTACTTGGAGTATGTCTCTGGGGGTTCCATCCATAAATTGTTGCAAGAATATGGGCCATTTAAGGAGGCTGTTATCCAAAATTATGTTAGGCAAATTCTATCTGGCCTTGCCTACTTGCATGCAAGAAATACTGTGCATAGGTAATTACTTATCATTGAAGTCATGATAACTAAGTTGCTTGTCTTCAAAAAATAGCAGTGTGGTTAAAGACATCATTTCTGCAGGGATATTAAAGGAGCAAATATATTAGTAGATCCCAATGGTGAAATCAAGCTTGCAGATTTTGGCATGGCAAAACATGTAGGTGTCAACTTAACTTTTTTGGGTATTGTTTTACGTTATGCAATTATATGTTACTGTAGTTAGTCAAAAATGCTGTTCAACTAATTTTAACACTTGGGTTTCTAAAGACGAATATCACTCTAGGAAGATATGGTTTATACTCGGTGAAAGCTATTGGGCTAAAGGACAGGTTGCAATTTTCCTCTTTTCTCTTCCAAGCCAAGCATCACTTGTGCAACCTGGTCAAACTTATTTTAAGTATTGAGACTACAGCTCATAAGATTTTGAAGTTTCCATTGTTATTATTATAATTCAAAAAGCAGCAATACATGTTTGAAGCAATAAGAGGACAAAACAATGAGCAAAAGGAGATGTCATGAATTCCATTTTTTCTCCTTTTGTTTTTCTAGTACTCCATATTAATTTTTAGCTTATGGTATTAGTTGTTCGCTAATTGTATAAGTCCTTAACTTATGGCTGCTTGTATCATTAGTTGCTAGCACATTGTATTAGCTGATTGCGTTAGTTGTTGTAGTAAAATTAGTATATAGTCATTGGTTGTTAACTTCTAGAATTTGTAAAATGAAATATAATGACATGAATTTGTTTTATTATTGTTATTTGTTAAGTATTCTTTTTAGATAGCTGCTTCTAGACTTTTACATATTTAGTTTATAAAAATACATTTAAATAAATATGAATAGTATCTTTCTTTTTATAATGTTCTAAAATTAATAAGTGAAACTTATTATTTGAACATCACCCGTCAAAATAAAAACAACAGCAAGAATTACTTTTATTAAAAAATATACATTGAAGACGCAAGGAATATGTGAAGAATGGTATTGGTGCAAGTGAAGAAATAATGTGCAGTTATTGTGGAGGGATAGGGTTGTTATTTACATTTGCAATCCATAAAGCTCTTCTGATTATTTTTTTAGGACTCTAGCAGCTAATTAAAAAAGTTGTCTACCAAACACACAATAGCGTTTTTGACATGGTCAAACAGCTAAAAGTTCTTCGAAAAAATCTTTACCCAAACAGGGTCCATATCTATTCTTGATGTCACTGCATTGACAATTTCTCATGTTGCTTGGTTTCTAACCAGATTACTTCGTGTTCTTCAATGCTATCTTTCAAAGGAAGTCCCTATTGGATGGCACCCGAGGTATCTCTCTTTTCTCTCTCACTTCAACTTTGTTAGTTAGTTCCTTTAAAGTTTCAGACTCATTGAAGCATGTATTTTTAGGTGGTGATGAATACAAATGGCTATAACCTTGCAGTAGATATATGGAGTTTGGGCTGTACAATTCTTGAAATGGCAACATCAAAGCCGCCTTGGAGTCAGTATGAAGGGGTAATATTTAAACGTGTATTCAGAAATCAGAATGCTAAACAATTGAAGCATGTGCTCCATCTTAACTAAAAGCCTAAGCTGATAGTTAGATTGCACTGGTTATATGCTCAACACCCCCCTCACGTGTGCGGTGGGTTCCAAGCAACACGTGGACTGTAGTCGCTTATCGGGTGATGTAGAGATTCGAACCCATGACCTTTGGTCTGGCTCTGATACCAAATTGAAGCATGTGCTCCATCTCAATTAAAAGCCTAAGCTGATAGTTAGATTGCATTGGTTATATGCTCAACATAAACACATCTTTTGCTGTTAGCCCCAGAATATATTTAAAATCCTTTTGATGGTCTTGTCTCTAATAGGTTGCTGCAATATTTAAGATTGGAAACAGCAAAGATATGCCTGCGATTCCTGATCACCTGTCCAGTGAAGCAAAAAGTTTTATAAGGCTATGCTTGCAGCGAGAGCCATCAGCACGACCCACAGCATCACAACTTCTGGATCACCCTTTCATTAAAGACCAAAACACATCAAAAGTTGCCCATCGTAATGTAATCAATGAAGTACAACCTCGGAGCTTTGATGGGAGCTGTACACCGGTAATAATATCAACTTTTTAATTTTTAGTGAGTAACATTTGTGGTTTACTTCTAGAGTTTGTTCTAGAGAAGTCATTGCACTGTGTTGCTTTACAACAAACCCCTTTGAGATGAGTTGTTATTTGGATTTGCTTTTCACAGCCGGCGGCCCTGGAGCTGCTGCATCCTAGCCAAAGAAATTTTGCTTCTCTTGATGGAGACTACGCAGTGAACCACATGGTAAATGTGTTTAGACCCATGATTAGTTCAAGGTAATGCATAGAAACAATTTTGATAATATTTCAGATTCAGTGTGAATAATAATCTCTCAACTGTCTGTCTATTTTTGTGTTTGCCCCAACTTTCTGTTTACCAACACTACAGAGACAATGCAAAAACCATTACGTCTTCATTGCCTGTATCACCATGTTCAAGTCCTCTAAGACGACATAGTGAAGAAGCACGCAGGAGCTGTTATCTTTCTCCTCCAAACCCATCATCTTATCATCCTTTCGCCACCACCCAATTTGGAAACAACCATCCCGACTACTCCTCAACCTTTGCAGCAAGAGTCAACACAAGGAACACACTGGATCCATGGCTTGATATTCCTCAATATAGAACACAAACACCTGGTAGATCTTCAACAAGAACAATGCCCATTCTCTAGTTAGGAAAACTTTCCATCCTCTGATCCAACCAAGATTGCCACTACAGTTTGAAGCGCAACGAATCAACTGCAATGTTGCATTCGATTCAGGGTACTTCTAACTAACTACTGCTGTGTTTTCCCCTCTTGTTTGTTGGTGAGTGGGCAATTTTGGATGATCAGATCAGTCTTCTTCAGTTGCAGCAATTCACCATCCCACTGGCTACTATCTTGGGTATATATTATATAATAATTGTATTGTGTATGTAAATTATACTTTTTCTTCTCTGAAATGTAAATGAAAGATGACACCTCTATATTATATTATTATTATATATAGACTTGAAAGGAAGGTCCTATATCTCCTTGATCTTTAATTTTCTGCAAGTCTTGCATAAGTAGGATCACGGGCCCAACAAAGAATGAGTGTCATGTAAAGTCAATCGTTATGCCATGGAACCGTCTTTTTTTTTTTAAAATTAAAAGCGCGTGATTTTTTTTCTTAATTTTCACATTTTGCGGTTTCACTTCCTCTTTGCGCAAGCTTCTTCAACACTCATAAATTATGAATGTGTAGGCATAGATTTATGAATGTGCAAGTATGCAATTATGAATATTCTTTTATGAAATTATAAATTTTCTGTTATAAAATTATGAATTTTTTGTTATGAGATTATGAATTTTCTGTAATGAGATTATAAATTTACAGAAAATTCATAATTATATACCTGTAAATTCTTAATTTCATAACAGAAAATTCATAATTTAATAAATATAAATTTATAATCTCATAACAGAACATTCATAATTTAATAAATATAAATTCATCATCTCACAACAGAAAATTCATAATATCTGTTATGTGATTATAAATTTTCTGTTATGAGATTATAAATTTACAGAAAATTCATAATTACATACTGTAAATTTATAATTTCATAACAGAAAATTCATATAATAATTTAATAAATGTAAATTCATAATCTGAACATAAAATGCAAAATGCCGTTAACATCACATTAACTATTTTTTTTTTTTTTGTAAAAACGACACAATTAGGACTAGTAATGGTAAACACGTTTTAGGGCATAATTTGCGATGTAAAGTAAAAGAAAGAAAAATAGCGTGAAAATTGTGTTGACAAGCTTGATTGACGGATAAATTGTGTGCGGAGGAGGAGTGTTGGATCCAACAGTGATTGACTGGCCGGGTTGATAAAGGTTTCATGCGACTCCGTCAAGTAACTCCCTCCCATTACAAATATGATGAGTATCAAGCCTCAACCCCAAGGAAGAAGCAGCTAACTCCACACTATGACAATCCATTGCTACTCAAACTCAGATAACATTAATATGCAAGAAAAATAAACATAAGCCTTGTTTGATCATATACTTAGTTTATTAGTCAATTTTGACTTATTTGATCACGGTTAGTTGTTTGATTTGGTTAAATAATTAATATGTGTGTTTGATTAATTAACTTTTGTAACAACTTATTATTTCAAAATTCAAAAATTCAAAAAGATATTCAAAATAGTTTTTTCAATAAGTTTTTTGAGAAAGTCATTTTACATGTAATCACTATCAATTAACAATTAATTTACTAAACACTTTTCTACAATCATCTAATGCTATCAACTAGTCAAATTCACTAACCCAATTAGCTAATCATCTAATGCTATCAACTAGTCAAACTCACTAACCCAATCAGTTAACAACTATTTACTAAACACCCCGCAATATTGGAGTTATATACTAACCTATGAAATAAACTTTCAACATTGAATGAATGTTTTTGCATTTACAGAAACTACATAAAACATTTTAACATTGTATTTGTTTCCCTAATCTTTTTTATTTATTTATTTATTTTTATTTTTTTTATGCAATAAGCATTTTTAGCAAATTACCAATCATTTGACTCAAAATAAATAAAAACAAAAACTAAGTTACACTATTATTATTATTTTCAAAAAAAAAAAAAGTTATACTATTATTATTACCAAGACTATGTGGTCTAATGGTATCCGGGTTGGACTTCCATTTGAAAGATTGTGAGTTTGAGCCTCAGTGAAGGTGTTATTGGTTCTTTGTGTTTCAGTAGGTTGAGAAAGTATGAACAGATACTACATTGTAATAGAGCCAGTAGCATTTAAAAAAAGGTACACTATTATTAGTATTTCCAGAATCATCCACAATACCAAAAACCACAGGATTATGTTTAATAATAATAATAATATAATATTATTAATAATATTAATATTAATAGTACTAATATATTAATAATTAATAATTTCTATATAGATTCCAGAAAAAGAAAAAAAAATCAGTACAAGGGCAAGAAAACTAAAACCATTAAAGCATACCCTAAAGAGTGTCAAATAGCCATCACGATGCTATGCCCTTCACCAATCGATAGAAGTTTTGACAGAGTATAGGGAAGAAATTAGGGTTAAGGAGAGAAGAAGAAAGATAAAGGGAAAATTGACTTTATTATTTAGCATAAAATCCAACATACTCCAATCTACCAATTTAAATGCAGAAAGCAACAATAGCCTCCTATATTCCCGGATCACAACGGCTAAGCCTGCTGGAAGGGATGGTCTGAAGTCGTCCGAAACGACGCCGTCGTAAGTCTGGCCAACAGCTTCTAATGTTTTAAATAGAACGACGTCGTCCAAGTTATTAGATTCATTACTGCTATGTCTAAAACGACGTCGTCGGAGTAATTTATTCAATGGCTTTAACTCCTTTACATGCGACGTCATTTTCCTCTTGTTCAGCCCTACAATCAGCCACTTCTTTCCTTCTCCTTACCTATGACAACTCAAAATTTAATTTTCTAAATTCGATTTTAAGAAATTTCAAATTGCCATTTTTCACTCTTACAAAAATTTTTACGATAAACACGGTGATTGAATAAATTATTTTGAGAAACTTTTTAAATAAATTCAACACCGAGATTTTTCTACTTCCAACAATCCTAAATTTCCGGGTACATTGAGTACCAAGTTTTGAACTGAAAAAGTATTATGAGTGGAACCGAGAGAAATCTGAGAAGCCTAAATCAAGTGTTCATCTAAAAATCATTTTTTGAGAAAATTCATCTTTAACCCCAAACTATTTTAAATCTTGATTCTAGACCATGGTTCATGAAGCATGGTGAACCACTTTCCTCAAAAAAACTTTGCCTGATACTTTTGGAACAAACACTAATTTACCCTTTTGCCATCCACCAATCATGAGAGATTCTCCTAAGGTTTTGAACCCATATAAAAGGAATAGTGAACTCCCATTTCCTCCTGATTCCATTCTTGGCTTCACAAACATTGAGCTCTGCAAGAACAAGAAGAAAGCATAGTAAGGTTTCCAACCTTCTTTATCATCCATTCCTCCATTTTCCCTTCTAGCTTTCATTCATTTACTCCTTATCTCTGAGGCTCTCTTCCTAAGTTTTGTTGCTTGGTTTGATGAGGTGTTTAGGTGGTGAAGGGGGTAGTGTTTGAGTTGGGAAGAAGGTGGAATCCATACAAGAAAGAAGAAGCTACAAAGGTATAACTCCATGGACTCCCAAAGCTTATTTTTAGACTCTGTGAAGTCTTGTTTTTGGTTGAAATGCTTAAGAAATGCTAGATTATTGTTGTGTTTGAGCTATTAAGTGATCTATTGTTGATCTTTGATGTGTTGTTGAGATTTTGGAAGTGTTAGAATGCTTGAAAATATTTTTGCAGGTGAAAGAAAACTATCTAGTTCACAAGACAATGTGCACAGACAGGTTCACGGGCCTAACCAACGGCCCTAGGAAGGAGTCGTTGGCCAGCCCCGTGAAGAGGTGGCCTCAGGGCATGGCCCATGGCAAGGGCCTTGACCCTAAGCCGTGTCTTAGCGGAGTCAAGCGGCAGACCTTCTCAAGCCCCGCCGCAAGCTCCGCTAGTTTACGCTGTGTAGTAGCCGGGCCCCTTTGTGGCTCAGCTACGTATCGTTCGGACCGGGACTCGTGGGTCCTTGAGGCTCAGACACTCGAGACTATCACGACGCATGCGTAGAATTTGATTTCGTTGATTTTGGAGTAGAAATGAGTAATATACAAGAGAAATTGTGAAATTGAATGCTTTGGATTATTCTGAGTATGTTTACAGTGAACGAGAATTTGAAGTTTCTGACTTAGCTACTTGGTTAAAAAACAGGGTAATTATTTGTTAGTCTAACTAAGAAGCATGTACATTATTTGATAAGTGTTACTAGATAAGCATGTTTAAAGGGCTATTATGACTTGTTGAGTTGTCTGCCAAAGTGCTAGAAATATGAAAGTGTACAGAGCATGTTTTATTGAATGCTAAATTACGGAGAATGGGTTTATGTTAAGTATTTTGAGTTCAAGAGCATGTTAAATACTTGCTAAGTGTTTACTAAGAGGATTTGCTAAGTAATGAGTTAGAGGCATGTTTTGACATTTGTTGAGAATTTACAGTGAAAGTGAAATTGAAGCATTTCTTATAGAAAAGTGCATATTTGAGCATATCATGTTTTAAAGTGAATAAGTGGCTTAGTGGAAGCCTAAGTATTCTTTCAAAAACCTATATCTATTTTGGAAAAATCTGTATCTAGTTGCATTGAGAAGTTGCATGATATTTGATTTCCATTTCATGAGAAAAGTTGATTTGTTGAGAAGCTAAGTGCACGAGACTGCATAAGTAAAGTTTTCGCATGAGTTATATATGTACCTAGTGTGAGTATTCTGAGGTTTTGGAGGCCCGTTAGGACTATGTCCTTTCGGAAGAAAAGAGATAAGATCGGATATAACTGACAAAACATTGAAAAGAGAAAGTAAAGAAATAAACGGATATTGCGATTCCGATATGAAGTAACGAGGCGTATTCCCACGTTACTAGGTTGGAAACTGCCCGCCAGGCTTGGAATCCTAGTCAGGGGGTATGCACACTGATAGTTCGATACCTGATTCCATAGAGTTTTGAGAAAAGAACCACGAGATTGGTTCTGTGGGCGAGATGAGTATTAGGTCGGCTTGATGCCGAGCCCGGATAGGTCCGTTCACACAATGGTGAAGTTCCTACCTCGCCCACGAGTAAAGAAAGAAAGTGAGTCCAGAGACTCAAGAGAAAGAAAAAAAGAAAGCGAGTCATTGTGACTCTAAGAAACCTCCACAGAACAAGTGTTCCTTGTTACAAAAGAAAGAGTGTATATGTATATCTATCTATACTTAGACTATAGCATCATGTATATCTTATTGCATGATTAAATGTTTTGCACATGTTGCCTAGAAGTGAGTAAGAAGCATGACTTATAGTGTCATTTATTATATGATAGCATGAGATTGCTTTATGAGTTATATGATAGCATGAGATTGCTTTATGAGC